CAGAATACAACAAGAAGGCCAACAAAACATATTAGCAAAGATGTAAATAGATTTCATCTTTCTAGAAATACAGTGGGGGCTTCTAGGTGAAAAATATGCACATTCTTTCAAAATATTAAATAGAATTACACCATAGAATGCAATGTTTTTAATCTTTTTAAAAATGCACTAGGTCAGCTGAGTAACAAAAACATGGTAGTTTCTGAAGTACTATACATTTCTTTAAATGATATGGAAAGGTCAAATGTCAAAATCATGTGCAGAATATTTAGTTTTTTTAAAGAAAAATGGTAAAATCCATCTGAAAACAGTTGGTCCAGAGTTGTGAGCCCTGTATGTCACAATGTTATTGGACCTTAAAGGCTTCTGGAAGTTTCTTCTGGAAGTTCTTATTCACCAGGATATCCTCTTTTTTTAGCACTACTTGTAAACATTGCAGCTCCTCTTCCTGTACCTTATTTGGCAACATATGATGTCAGGTTAGCACAAGCAGTCAGATTACTGGTATATAGTATGATGGCTCAACTATGTTCAAATGCTTAACCTTATCCGGTTTACATCTTTCGTTCAGTAAGATTTAGCTAAACATGCTTTTTAACTTTTTTGTGTTAGCCTCTAGTAGTTCCATGAAGGTTTGCTTTAAAAAAAATCCATACAGAGAGATCGCACTGTGGCTCAGGTGTGAAGAGTCAGTTGTTACTTAACTTTAAATACTTTGACCTTTTTGGTTTTGGCTTCAGACACTTCCATAGTGCTGCGACTGCTCTCATTAAAACTGCTAAACACTTTGTGGCAGCTTTGATTTTCCATTCGCTTGGTTGGGGAGTTTGTTTGGCAACTCTGATTCTACATGTACATGGTTTAAAACATACCTGAACATTGAACGTTGAACATTTTTTTGCTTGTTTTTAAGGTTTCGCACAGGGATCCGTACTGGGCACTCAGCTGTGTAGTATACTGAACATTGAAAGAACCGTCACTTGAAACTGGAAAATAATTCTAACAATAGCATGAGAAAAATGACTCTTCTGCACTGGCACTTAAAGGAGAACTGCAGTCCCAATTTCTCAGACCAGATTATAAATCTTGTTAAAAAAAACAGATTTAATGGTAAGATTGTAAAATCTTAACATTTTACAAATTCCAAAAATAAACACAAACTTATGAACTTCGTGAAAGTACTGTACAGTCACCATGTTGTCGAGCGTATGCACGAATTGTGACATGTTGCAGCCCTTCCTGCTCACTAGTCACTGTAATGACTAATGTAATGTACGAGTGAGTACAGGTTGTGCAGCAGACATTTCACCACAGAAATGTTCCAATATGCACGCAGAGTTAACAAAAAGTATTTGATGGCAGAACCATCTGAGTAGAGAGCAATATTGCTATTGGATTGAAAGAGATGCGTTTACAATAAAATAAGGAAGATATGCCTCCTCCTGAATCACAGAATATGGCTCTCGTTCTACCTAGAAATTTAACCTGTTTTGTGACATAAATTGGCGGTTTTATACATTATGGTACAGATTTTACTTTCATTGTGGTTCGAAATGCACTCATCAGTGCCGATGCTTTCTAACCTCAAAACATAAAAATAGCATTGCAGTTCCCCTTTGATTGAACAGATATGACATTCGGTATGATAAATCAGTATGCTGATGAACTCTCAAATCTGATGAGTAAGACATCTATGGCATCATAAATGTCAGACTTGTGTCTCACTAGTTGCTATCAATCAGTTCAGGTGATCAGTAGTCCACTCCTGCCCAGACCATCATGCTTGAATCCCCTGATTATGACAAGACTTGTGACTCATGGTCTTACGCAGATCGAAGGGCTTACTGTTGGATTGTTTGGCTATTACTTTTTGCCAGGTTGTGAACACCCATGGTGGATAGAACCAGGTGCTCCTCTGACGTACCAGTGGCACTAAGGTGGTTTTTCATTAATAAGCAGAGCATGTTTGTCCCTTTGGGTTTACTATTTCAGATTTCCACAAGGTTTGACATTCAAGTGGTTAGGCTCCCTCGTCCTCTGTGCCAACTCTCAGCGATGAGGTTATTTAGTGCTTAGTCATTTGAGTGCATCATGGTCAGTCATGGATGACCAGTTAATTAAATGACACCAGAAACATTCAGTCAGTATTAAAAATTAATGTACTTATTAGTTTGAAGCTCAAAGTATATTTGTGTCCTCTTTGTCACATACTAAAATCTCTCTCTGCATAAATCAGTAAACCTTAACACTAAACCTTATAATGAATTGGCTAATTCAGGATTTTCTGCCATGAAAGGTTGGGTGGTGCAAATTTTCATTGCGATTTTCTGTTTGTAATCATATGAGCTTGTTGTTGGGCTCCTCCAGCCAGTTAATTGTTTAGGGTTCTTGGGAGTACGGAGCAAGTTACCCACTCCTGTGGAAGAAGCCAGTACTGAATCGTCTGGAAGAGATCTTTGGCTCAGTTAGTTACTGTCAGCTTCTATCCACAAGCAGTGAGACTGGCGAACACTTTTAGCCATCCCCCTCGGACCACACCTACACCATCACCATCTACCTCTTTATGATTTCTTATCTATCGCACATCTCCAGTAATTGTTTACATTTCTGTATTGTTTACATTCAAACTGTCTACATGTTTACTTGCACATTGTCTATTGTTTGTTTGTACATTGTCTTGATGCACTGTTTGCACTTTGTCTTGTTTTTTACACTTGTTTTACAATCGAGAGACTTTCTGTGAGTAAGAATTCCATTGTACCAGTACCGGTTACATATGGCAATAAAGTTCAAGTTCAAGTCACACAAGTAAAGTGCGCTGAATGGCCTCCTTATCTGTAGCTGTTCTGATGTATAAAACCAAAGCTGTAAGCTTGTCTGTGGATGGGGCTGCGATGTGAGTTCTAATTCAAAATAAATAAATTGGGGATGGTTGTGGATTACTGTTTGAATTTAATGCTCACACTATTTTAAATTTTATTTGTCCATCTTGGAAATATTGCCAGGCTGTGTCCTGTGTTTTCTGTGTCTGTGGTAGAAAACCTGATTTTAGTGTCTTTTTTTCCACAAATCTGTTTAACGACCTGGTTAGTGTCTCAAGAGAAATCAGGGACTCAGCCTTTAGAAGAGCCTTTACTTAACTGGTTCCATTCTTTACCCCTCTGCTTCTACTTTTCTTAGTACCACCACCCACAGTGTCCTCTGTATGTTTTAATTGTGTTTTATCTTGTGTAGTCTTTTTATTTGTTGCTGTTGTCATTCTGTAAAGCGCTTTGAGAAGCCAACTTTTAAAGGTGCTTTATAGAAAAAAGTTTTTTTTAATTATTATTATTATTATTATTTTATTATTATTGCGGTCTCAAGAGTTGAGTTGATATGAAAAGCCCCAGACACAGGCTCTGCAGTACCAGGATCGGACCCCCCTGTTTTAGACTGTATTGGGACTGGGGCCTTCTCTGTTGTCCCAGAGCTCTGGAACACCATCCCAAAATAAATCAGGGACTTGGCCTCAGTGAGTGTAGCCCCAACTGGGAACGTTTGTATATATATATAAAAAAAACCTATTTGCCTTGTTTTCATACATAGCATTGTAAACATTTTCTTATAATATGTGATTTTTATGTGGTTCTTGGTGCTTAAATAGCTTTTATAATTGTAGGTGTGACTTTAAATATGTGCGTATAGCCGTGCACGCTAACCTTGCGTTTTTGGGACTGGTACATGGGTGAAGTCCCGAGGACCCACGTTGGAGTCCAGGAGTGGCCTCACAGTAACCACCAGTCAACAATGACAGGAAGCAATCGGAAAAGAATTGCATACGACTGTGAAAGAAAAATGTAAAAAGACATTTTCGCAAGCACTATGAATGACCTCCATTTTGTTAAACACTCAGTTACTTAATTCTGGAATATCTTGCTACATGTCATCTGAGCTGGAGTGCAGAACTTCATCAGTCTATCTGTCTCTTTTGTTGTTTCACCAGCCCCTTTTGAGCAGCAGCTGGGGGTTAGTATGTGCTGTTATGCTGAGCATTACATAATCAATTGGCATGAATGTAAATACTGTAACTCCAAAAGTATTTGGCAAATCGACCTGCACAACCAATTTTGCAGTGAGCTTCTAGATTTCATACTGTGTGCTGCACTAAGCCTTCTTGATGCTAATGTTTCTGTGCAAGTGCTGTATTTAAACACTGGCTGCTCTAAATGCACAAATTGCCACAGGTAGGCAATACAGAATACCATTTGAAAAGGCAGAAAAATAGCTTCATTATATTAAAAGCAGAAGCACCAATAAACCATCAATTTTAGGGTTTTTGCATAAACCTTGAAAGCACTTCCAAATATGCAGTGCTGTTTTTGGTAATTATTTTTTGTGGAAACCTGTTATTTCCTGAATGGCACCTCACAGAATTTCTATGCTTTTGATTCTTCTTTTTCACTGTGGTAGGTTTAGAAAAGTTTTAAATCACATTAATGCTCAACTTGAGTGTGTTATATATTTAACTGGTGTTTCATAGTCTTAAGACATGTCCTGTTCTCATGCCAGTGCACACTTGTACTCACAGCTGGGTTTCTGGCCCTTCGCTGGTCAACCAGAGGAAGCTCAGTACTGGGTCAGAAAGCCCAGAGGAGGAGCAGGGGGTGGTCAGTTGTGGCCAGATAGAAGAAATTTATGTAACATTTATGTTACGTGACTTTGTCCCTTTCACACTTTATGGTCATTGTTTTGACAGGCAGCGTGAAGTCTAGGATGAAGTCATGTCATTTAGTGAATAATTTTTATCTGTTTGAACCAGTGTAAGTGTTTTCAAAACAATTAAACAATGGCTTGCCTTCTTGTTTACAAACAAACGCTCTTCCTCCATCCTCGAGTCAGTGGGGTGGGACGGTAGAAGAGCCTGCCCCTCAGGGTGAAATGATAGTTAATCTCCGACGCCTTGAGCCAGGGCGCCTGGCGAGACCTGGTGTCCAACCCGTGTTTCCCGTCTCGTCCTGCAGCCCTGTTCTCAGCCCTGCTGCGTTTCCTCTGCTGCGAGATCTCCAAGACGTGCCATAGGATGTCGCGTAGCCCCGAGGTGAAGGAGGACCCCATGGAGTGCCCCCTCTGCATGGAGCCCCTGGAGATCGACGACATGAACTTCTTCCCCTGCACCTGCGGGTACCAGATCTGTCGCTTCTGCTGGCACCGCATCCGCACAGACGAGAACGGGCTCTGCCCCGCCTGCAGAAAGGTACGCTTGGCCCGGGACACGCCACAGCCCCGTGGAAAGGTTCTGCTTTTTGGGAAACCAAAAAAAGGCCTTTCCAAATCTGAGGGAAAAGGGTCTGAATAGAGAGGCACACAACTTTTATTTTTAATCAAACCAGAAAATAAGGTCTAAAAGCCGGTTACATTTTTAAATATCATCAAGTGAGGCAATAAAAATGGTAAAATGTGGAACGTTCCATCTCCTTAGCAAATGATGCAATGTTTAGTTATTTGACTTTGTTCAAATCTTTAATAGTCTTGGACAGGGAGCAGTGTTAACTTTATTGTTTTAATCTTTGTGCCACACAGTGAAATTCTTAAATATTTTTAAATCATTGCAATGAATGGAGATGGTATTTGTTCTCTTTAATTTTATTTATAGAGGTTGTTTGATTTGGCTTTGACTTTGAAAGTACAAACATTGCACATTTATTCACCTTCACAGATATTTTAAGCTGCAATTTTGAAACTTGCAAAAATATCAGTGTTGTAATTTAATCTCTTCTTCCTGGATTTACCACTTAAAGTTGCTGTTTGGGATTTTAAAATTGCTTGAGAACAGTTTCATCAACATGATTTGGTTTATGACTTTTTAATAAAATACAATCTAACATACGGTAGACCTTGGTGTACCGAGGACTGATGTACATTGATGTATTGTATATGCTATATACAGTCAAGCTTGTGAATGATTGGCTTTTGTTGCTCAACTCAAGGAAGCAGAACCATCTAATTCTTTTGGAGGACAGTCAGAGTAAGCATCCGTCGTCACTCTCAATTGTAAAAATATATATGATCCCTGTGTTCTTTGTGAGATGCATGTATATACCTGTTTATGTCAAAGTAAGCTGTTGTGATGATAAAGCCTAGTAAGGTTGTCTGTAGTTGTTTTAACATTATAGGTAAGTTAACAAGTACCTTGGGCATCCCTGTCATGGAAGATTTTTTAAGAATTGTGTAGCCTGAAAAACATAAACCTGCAACTTTAAGGATCAAAATGTACTACTAGTGGAAATTATGAGTTGCTTTACAGTGACTTCATAATAAGACTGTTTTTCATCAGGGATTAAACCTTTGTAATGGTATTTACTTGATGTAAGAAAGGAAGTCAGAATACAGATTAAATGTTTTTGGAGGTTACAGTATAAGATGAAGATGCATAGGAAATAATTTTTATAATGCAAGTAGTCAAGGTTTTAAATGAAGCTTATTGAGCTCATCATTCATACTTAAAAGAACATGATCATTACATCCATTATATTATAGAGATGCAATCTATATCTATGTCCCAGTGGATGTGAGAGTTAAGTCACTGAAACAGTCACCACTTCGAATTTCCAAGTCTATGATGTGTTTGCACAATGTGATACCTAAGGGTTTGGGAATTTTTTGAAAAAACCCACCATGATATCTGAATAAAAGCTCTTGTCTTTTACTCATTTATTTTAAGTTCATCTGACCCATTGTGATTTGTAGATTCTTTAAAAAGTGGATGCCGTGCCAGAGAAAAAGAACAAATAACCCTGAGAGGGGCACCTATGATAAATCGCAAATCCTACTGCTGTCCCAGGTCAGCACCTGCGTTAAGGGCCTTTAGTTAAGTGACCCTGCTGGGGTTCACATGCTCCTTTGCTCATCTGAACGGAGGGTCTTCTGTGCCCACGTGTGTTCCTGCAGCCTTACCCCGAAGACCCGGCCGTGTACAAACCCCTCTCACAGGAGGAGCTGCAGAGGATAAAGAACGAGAAGAAACAGAAGCAGAACGAGCGGAAACAGAAGATCTCGGAGAACCGCAAGCACCTGGCCAGCGTGCGCGTGGTGCAGAGGAACCTGGTGTTCGTGGTGGGACTTTCACAACGGCTAGCTGACCCAGAGGTGGGTGACGTCCCCCACGCTTTGCTTAATCTCTTTTCTGCAGGCTTTAACCATAGTACTGTAACGCTTACGGCCGACAGGCACTGTGTAAGAGCCGGCGTACCAGAGCAGGTGACGTCACCGCCCTTCCCTGTGATAGCAGGACTACAGCTACTGAGCTGTGGAGAGATCTCTCTTTAGCTCACGGGGCTGGGTCGCTGCAGAGAGACGCGGGAGTCCCGGGTTCGAGCCTCAGTCGGGATGGGGCCGACCTAATGTGACAAGGGCGCCTGCTGTGCGTTACGGTACTCAGTGATGTTCATCTCACCTGAATATTAACAAGCAGAATCTTGGAACTTCAACAGTTTGGATTTAAGTACTTAAGAGATCAGAGAGTCTCTAGAAGAGGTGATAAAAAGTGCTTTAGCAATCCTCTTTGGCCTGCGTAAGCCATGTTTTATAATGTGGTGCAATGAAAAGATGGGTCTAAAACATAGTTGAATTGAGGATGTAGTAAATATTCCTCTGATCGGTTTCCATGTCTTCATAGACAGTTTGATCTGCAGTGTGTTGGGTTTCCAGGGCACAAGTTAAAAAATAATAATTTAAAACAGTTTACTGGCATTATTTTTAGTCTTTTTTTGTGGTTGTAAAGGTTGTTTTGGATGTTGATTTCTTTTTCATACCCTGAAGTAAATTGATTGTCCTTTATTGATTGTCTGCCACAGATCTGTGGGGAGACTTTGAAAACAGACTAGGCTTAAATGCTGGGATCCAATATACAGTACTGAAGTGTGTACTGAATTATAAAACTATGTCGGCTAATAGAAGTGTCAGAATTTCAAAAGTATCATAAAGATGTGAGATTATAATTAATACGTATAAGTACAACTAATGTTAAATAAGTTAAATGTACAACTGTTCATGTGCTTATAAACAGTTTTTTTAATCTAACCTGTGAAGTATAATCTGCCATTTCATCTTCACAGAAATATGCCATAAAATCTCCAGTAATGCTCTTTTATTTTTATTTTTTTTAAAAACAACATAATGCTCTTTCACATGAACATCTTAATAAGCCAATAATGCTTTTCTTGACAGTCATCCCATATAAAGTCAGTTAGAAAAGCACTGCTTCCTTTGACCCTCACCCCTTTTGATGTAACATTTTCATAAATACGTGCCCATGATAGAATTGTGTAGATTGTGGTTTCAGGATTGAATGGCCAACCATTTAGGAGACAGATTCTCAAAATGTATCCATTTTGGACTCTCCCACCCTGCCATAAGATGTCCTTATCCAGATATACATAGCAGGGTTATTGATATGGTTTGTAGGACTCCTAAATAGGGTTGTCAAATTATTTAACCATTTGCATTGAAGAAGTAATAATAATAATAATAATAATTGCTTACACTTATATAGCGCTTTTCTGGACACTCCACTCAAAGCACTTTACAGGTAATGGGGACTCCCCTCCACCACCACCAATGTGCAGCATCCACCTGGATGATGCGACGGCAGCCATAGTGCGCCAGAACGCTCACCACACATCAGCTATCAGTGGGGAGGAGAGCAGAGTAATGTAGCCAATTCATAGAAGGGGATTATTAGGAGGCCATGATTGGTAAGGGCCAATTGGAAATTTTGGCCAGGATGCCGGGGTTACACCCCTACTCTTTTCGAGAAGCACCCTGGGATTTTTAATGACCACAGAGAGTCAGGACCTCGGTTTTACGTCTCATCCGAAGGACGGCGCCTGTTTACAGTATAGTGTCCCCATCACTATACTGGGGCATTAGGACCCACATGGACCACAGGGTGAGCACCCCCTGCTGGCCCCACTAACACCTCTTCCAGCAGCAACCTTAGTTTTTCCCAGGAGGTCTCCCATCCAGGTACTGACCAGGCTCACACCTGCTTAGCTTCAGTGGGTTGCCAGTTGTGAGTTGCAGGGTGATATGGCTGCTGACAAGTAGTTAAGAATAAGACATGATTTTTGGTAAACTATTTTTTTTAATGTTTTGCAGATGTTGTAGTTTAGACCCTTGTTCATAACACCTGAAATTTGTGTTCCTGAGGGGTGCTGCCATTGGTTGAGGCACAGATTTCACTTGAATATAGTTTCAGGTATATCCTTAGGTCAAGCAAAGCCACATGACTGTGAGCCTCACTTTTTAACTTGGCCTTTTGCTTTGTAGCCACAGTTCCAGGGCTTTTGATGCACATCCCCTCTAGAGTGGGTGTATGTTTTGTCCAGTGCAGTGGTTGGCTTCTTGATGTCATCACATCTTCAGCAAATCTGCAATGATTTGATCAGGACTGCCAGGGAAAACAAATGATTTGGAAGGTCCGTTTTCGTACACTTCTACCTCAGGTTGCCTTAGATCAACAGAAGCCCTTGCATACACACTCCTGTGATGAACACTTTAAATTCGTCAGAGGACAAAGCATCCTGTAATCTGTGATCAGTTCTTCAATGTGAATTTTTGAGTAGACAAAAATGTGCACCTTGGTATTTGTATTGAAAATGGGTTTAGGGTGAAGAAGATTCTATGTGCCAGGCATCTTACCAATTATGATGTATTCTACTTCAAGAACAGGGATTTTCCTTTACATAGAGGTGCAGTTGGTGTGGAGTTGTGTTGTTTGCATTAAAACCATCTTTTGTTTCCAGTTGTATAACTGTTCCTCCCTCACTATAACGATGTATTTTACCGTGTGCAGTTGCAAAGAAGTTCAACTCTGTTTCCACAGAGTTAAAAGCAAAATATTCAAAATTGTGGCAGGGATTTTGGAAGACTTTGTTTTTGAGGAACTTTAAGATGTGCCGTAGAAGGAGTCTGTGGTTGTCATGGGTTAGGCATTCCGAAATTGCAGCATATGAAATAGTCCATGTTTAATGGCTTGTGAATAGTTGCAACAGTAAGACTTTTAACTTGCATGACCAAATAATTTTTTGGCCAAACCAAGAAGGACCTTACTTTTTGAAATGACTACTCCCTCCACTTTTTATAAAATCTCACCATTGTGTTGCTAAACATGCTGACAGAGAGCAAGAGGATTTCTTGTGAAGTAGTTGTATTACTGGAGCTCTTTCGTCCCTCCACTTTTTGCAATTGGATTTGCCATTATTCCTGTCTCTTGAAGGACCCTTTGCTGTCCTCGACATAAGTTGTATTGAACTAATTGGCAGTTTTCCATGTAGACCAAGATCTTGGAACAGCTGTTAGAATTTGAACTTGCTGACTCAGATTTTCTCTTGAATTATATTTGCCCTTTTAGCTTTAGCTTGGGTATTTCCTGATGTTCCTGGTAATTATTGTTAATGGTTTCTTTTTTTCCCTGTCTCTGCTTCTAAATAAGCATTTATCAGGTTTTTATTCAGTACTTCCCCAATGTTCTTTACCAGGTGCATTTGATAGAATATTCCCATCATTTGATCCAGAATCTTTGATATCTACTGATCTCTTTAAAGAGACAAGTAGTAAAGGACGTCTCCATATCTGCATCTCGAGGGGTGGATTCTCCAAAAAATGGTTCATCCTCATTCAGAGATGTTCAAGTAGGTAGCTGCGTCAGCATGCGAAGGCTGCAAAGGAACATGTAAAGGTTTATTCCATGCTGAAAAGAAAAGAGACACAATGTTTTGGCTGTGGAGTCTTCTTCAAGTGTCAAGTAGGTAGCTGCAGAAGGATCCACAGCCAAAATGTCTTTTCTTTTCCTTTCAGCATGGATTAAACCTTTACCTGCTCCTCATTCAAAGGTGCTTTGTTGGCCTTTATCGAGAAGTTAACAGGCTAATTTCAAACAGGATTAATATAATGTATACCCACAAAAACAAGTGCTCTGAACACCAGCCTGCTTCCTTATTATTCCTTATTTACAAGCCTTGTAAATGGTTGCAGCAAGTCTTCAGATTTGTAGCATTAATAAAGTTGCTTGATATGAATGCCATTTGTGCAGGTAACCTCCCCTTCAGTGCCACTCAACAAAGCAGAGCTATTGGAGAAGATTTAAAGTGAGGAACAATCTCCTAGTATTGGTAGTCAGCTGTTGAGGTGTCCTACTTCCTAAATTTGGAGTGAGAGCAGGTGCACACTTTTGCCTAGAGTTGTCTTATGTGCTTAGGGTATGATTTTTTTTTCTGCATTAGTCGTGCCAATATGCTAGTGTAAAAACTGAGGAAATATCTGATGGCCCTCTTCTTCTGACATTTAACAAAATAAATTATTAAAATGTATGTTGTCTCAACAAATGGTGGATGGAATGCCAACGTGTTTATTGAAGATATAAACAAGGGTCTATTTTTTAAATTTTTCTTAAGAATGATAAATGAAGTTTTCAAACAAGTTTGAAAGCTTTAAAAATTATCAAATTCATCCTTCCATGTTTATTGGTGATGAGGTTATGGATGTCTTGTGGTAGAGTGAGGGGCTTACAACACTGCTGTTGTACTTCCAACAAGGTATTACACCCAATCCGTTTCAGCAACAAACCTAATGGGTGAAATAGGTGCAAATGTACTTCTTTTTGGACAAAAGCACGAGTGACAGAACATTCCTGAAATCAGTGATTTCTTTCCATTTTTGGCAGTTTACTCCTGAGGTGACTTTGGGAAAGACTGTTGTGAACTGGATAAATATTTGAAATTTGAAAAACCAGCATCAGCCAAATTTTAAAGCAGGATGCAGTGGTAGGACCTCAATAAACTGCAGTACTGCAGCTTTGGTACTGAACTGTCTGAAAGCACAGCTACTACAGCCCTTCCTTGCTTACCATTTCTTTGCGACATATCATATTCCAAATGCCATGTGTCTTAAAAAGACTAGAATCCAGTTGCACTACTTGAACAAAAACCCATCAGTGATGGCTGGCTGCAAATTATAGACAACCAGTTAACAGAGATGCTTATTTAATGTTGTGTGGTGTGTTGGTGGTTACTGTTCTCCTAATGTTAGTGTGTACATACAAAGACATGGCTTTCTACTTTAGTGTTGATTTTTTTCAGCAAGGTTTTAAATGATTAAATTATAAGTTAAATTATTTTACCTGTCAATGTTTCTACACAAATAGTTTTTATCAGTACATGTACATTTGGCACAATACAGATCTGATACCAGCTAACATTAATCTGGAACCATACCAAGTGCACAGTAGCCTAATTTTTCAAATAAAGAATTTGTCAGTCAAAAGCAGCCCATTAAGACATCTACATAAATTAATATGTACAACACTTCAAAAATATGATAACTGTTAGATAAATCTCTTCTAAATCTTTATTTACAGAGTGTACAAATATAAGTTATAGATTCAAGTTATACTTATTTTTCTCAATACATTTTTTTTCTATTGATCAATAACTATAAAAGAAACGCCATTGTGTATTTAAGTATTAAGATTAAAAATACAAAGTGGTTCCCACTTCAAAAGGATAGTATTAATATCACTACATCTTTAGATTTGTCAGTGCCTCTATATCTAAGTAAGAAAATCGCATGATTAGCAACTACAAAATAAGCAGTCGCTGGACAAGTCAAATGACAATGCCAGATTGATTTTCCATCACTTCAAGTATTGTTGCAAAAATAATAGAAATAGGATAGATGTTATGTAATAGTTATATGATGTTAGCCTCTATATTATTCTATACATTAGTTTGAATACAAGACGTTTCTAAAGAACAAAATATCCCATCTGTTCAAGGAATGCTAAGCTTTAATTTTCTGTGAGCATTATGGAGGTAGATAAGAGGTAGCTTAAAGGACAAGTAGTTTGTTTAACTACCAGACTGATCTTCACAGTTGGTGTAAGTTGTAGAACTCATCCCATATTTGTAACCTTCTCCACTGGAACCATAACATTCACCATGCTAATCAATTCCAGAACTGGGGCGCTGTCTGCATGGAGTTTTTCTTCCTGCGAGTTCCCTCTAGGTGCTCCAGTTTCCTCCCACAGTTCAAAGACATAGTGGTACGGTAATTGTCTTCTGCAAATTCTAAATTAAATGAGAATGCATGTTAAAATTTTAGGTAATAGACAGCACATAATGTTTCAGTCTTTAACCTAGGAATATTCTTTTCTGTAAATTTTTCTGTGGGAATATTTCTTTGTTCTTTGTCTGCTATTAGTCTTAACTATGACCTGTTTTGTGCTATCTTTTTTCAGGTTTTAAAACGGCCAGAATATTTTGGGAAGTTTGGGAAAATACACAAAGTAGTCATCAACAACAGTACATCGTATGCAGGCTCACAGGTAAAGGTCCAAACTGTTGTAAACAGTGTGACGGATATGCTGTATGAGGTTAATATGGGAGCTGTAGGTTGGTTAATGATAAATTAAATTAATGGGATTCTTCACCTGTTATTTTATGACAAATTAACTTCTGCCGATTGTAAGAATGTAAAAAATACAGAACATGAGCTACTTTTCACTAAAAACTAGATAGCTGATTGCATCCTCGTGGACACATGTAGGGATTGTTTGTATTAGGGGTGTTAACTGTTAAGAGGAGGCTTTAGAGGTTAAGAGACTGTTAAGAGGTGATTAAAATTGCATTGTAAAGTTAATTAGCTTTCCAAAAGTCAAATGTATTCCCTTTTTTCCCTTGCGTTCAGGGTCCCAGTGCCAGCGCGTATGTCACTTACATTCGATCTGAGGATGCGCTCAGAGCCATACAGTGTGTCAACAATGTAGTAGTAGATGGTAGAACACTCAAGGTAAGTTGAGGTAGTGTTTCTTAAATCTAAGAACAAGGAAATCCTTTGGAATTGAAAATCAAAGGTTCTTGTCCTGAGGATTTTATTTCTGAAGTGGCAGGTTGATAAGGAAACAGTATCTTTCCATGAATTATGAAAGTAACCTAAGAGTTATGAAGAAATTAGGAGTTCTCAGAACATTTGAAGCTCCCCGTTTTGAAGAAGTGGGAAGCATCTACTATCAGATTTTGACTCAACATTCTCCTATAGTCACTCTCAGTGACATGCCCTATGATAAAGGGTATGTGTGGCCAAATAAACAGGTTATGTGCCAACAGACATCAGGATCTTTGTATTATGGCTTTTCCAATAAACTGAAGTAACCCACAATGATGTACTCAAAAAAGGCTTTCTGTTTAATAGCCACATCACAGTGCCAGGAATTTAGGTCTGATTATGAATTTCTGAAATTATTCTTGCAAAAATACCATTGCATTTGGGAAGAGATTCCAGAGTGTAAAAACGTATTGTAATTCTTGTTGTGAAACAAAAACATTTCTCGTATTGAGTTGTTCAATTTTTTTAGGTCTTTGATAAGGCTTGACAGTTATAGAAACAGTTTTTTTAGGTTTCCATGTGTGCTATTTGTGGAAATAGCTTTCTTGTTTTTGATATGTTTTGTACTTCATCTCTTTGTGTTTTTTTGCTCCAGGCTTCTTTAGGTACAACAAAATACTGCAGCTACTTTCTAAAAAGTATGCAGTGTCCCAAACCAGATTGTATGTATCTTCATGAACTGGGAGATGAAGCTGCCAGTTTCACAAAAGAGGAGATGCAGGTAACTGAACTTTTTTCCTCTAGAATTTATTTAAAAAATGTACTGACTTTCTTTTACTGAATTTACTGAATTACTTTTGTGACTTTCTAAAACCACATATGATGATAGCTGTTCCACTTGTGGTTAAACACAAATATCGTATTGCATTGCAGAACCTTTGAGCAGACGTCTTTGATTTCTTTTTGTCCAGGCGGGGAAGCACCAGGAATACGAACAGAAATTGCTACAAGAGCTGTACAAAATGAACCCTAACTTCCTGCAAACCTCAGCAGGTGGAGGGGAGAAGTCAAAGGGCAAAGCCAGCACATTGCAAAGGTATGAATTTTCCAGGATATATGGTAGAAGCTTAACTGGTTAATCATGTTCATATCTATAACATTTTATTCATTATCTTTACATCTTTTTGCACGTTGTGTGGGGCATATTTTGTAATACACCTTCAGACTCCCACAGTCTGGATATTATTTTTGTCTACAGAATAAAATGTTATGAATGCAGCATTCACCAGTCTGCATAAAAACCTAGATAAGCTGAAAAAAAGACAACTTGCTCCTTTATTCTATATGTGGTCCCAATGAATGATTTGATCATGGAACTAATGAAAAGGGAGCAGATAGTTTAGTGTCGGGTGTAATGAAATGTTCTTGACAGGTATGGAAGAAATAGTTTTACTAAATGATTTTGTGTGTTGTTGACCATTGGGCCAATTGTCAGTCTTTTCATACTGTAAAAGGACTTTTACTTGATGATGGTCATGTACATTTCCCTAAGCCAGAATTATGAAGGTGAGATGCTCAAAGTTTACTTTTAGTTTGCTGAAGTTTTGGAAATAAATCCATAGCAAGTGTTTTTAAATACTTAGATTTAAGTAGTTTTGACCTACTTTGTTGATAAAGTGAAATCAGCTGGTTGTTAAGTTGGGACATGGAACTATTTTTGTAATATGACTTTATCACTGCAGGGAACCAGAAGAAATGGACAATTTTAGTAAATTACCTTATTTCTAATATTTAGCCAGAACCTGCTCTCCTTTTGCTTAGTATTCTTAAAGTAGAGATCAATTTTTGATGAAGGATTTGCCTTAGTAGGTTTCGTTACAGTAATATGCGACGGAGAGTGAGATGAGTGAATAAAAGTGTAATAACACTTGTTAGCATCACACAGACTTGATGGTAATTTTTCCTTTTGTGTCCTGCTTAAAAAACAATCCAAATCCAGTGACACTTTTTTTCCCCCCTCTTGTGCATTTGTGTCTCTGTTACAGACCCAACAGTAACAACAAAGACGCATGGCCATCATTACAGAGTTCCAGTAAAGCAGTAAATGGGCTCGCAATTGAGCATCGGAAATCGCCTCCTCTTTTGGACAACTGTTCCGATCAAGAACACATGACGCCAGATGGACCTGACTCGGAGTTGGGGCAAGTAACCACCCTTTCCCCCTTCTCGTCGGCTTGTGACCCTGCCAGGTATCTGAACAGCAGCAGTGTGTCAGAACTGTTTCTCACTTACATAGGCACAGGAGGGAAAGCTTTAAAGGCAGAAGGACGTTCACAGGTGAAGTGTGTTGTATAGGTGGTAGCTGTTGTGCCTAACCATGTGCAAAGAAAGCAAACATGTCATGTGTTTCAGCTAAACCCACAACTGAGATGGGAGCTCTCCTCACGTTTGGTATAATATTACATTATGTAATACATCAGAGGGTTTTTTTTTCCCAGGATGAGCCATTTGCTTTAATAGTACTCGGCACCCTTACACACGCTCTATCAAATGTTTTGCAAAACAATATCCCAGAAGAGCAGAGTGACAAGTAAAAATGTATGTGTGTTTTAAATGGAGTGACATTACAGGATTGTGAGTAATGTTCTGTAAAGCTTCATCATTGCTTTTTTCCCCCACGTATTTTAAATTTTTGCTGTTTGATTTAATACGTTTCTATAGTTTCTCAAATTCCACGTGGGTATTTAAAAAATGTCTTGGATGTCTCAAAGAGAAAAAAGCACAAACTTAAAAAAATTCCTCCAAATATTTTTCTGACAAATTGCCTGTTTAGCCTTCTAACTGGCATCCATATAAGTTTTTCATGGTTACTTTCGTAAAAAGTAATTGCATGGATAAAAAGATAGTTTTAATTTAGACCTTTGTTTTACTTTGCAGTCCAAGCGACAAACCTCCAGAATCCCTTAATATAGGGAACGGTGAGAATTTACAACAGGTAAGAATATTTATCCTTAATAGTTAACCGTAAAGAATACATTAATGTAGTCTGTACAGTGTTCATTTGCAAAGTATTCTTAAAATGGCTTTGTAGTTTCTAAACCGCTATGACTGAGTGGTACATAAAGGGAGACCAATAAAATTGGTCTCATATCTCAGCTGTTTTGTTCGTGACAGTGAAATTTAGGTTAAACCTAGGCTGAGGTGAATTGAGGCCGAGTGACAAGCAAATTGAACCACAGAAGTCCTGTGTTCATGAATTTAATTCGACAAAAAGATTTTGGTGGTACAATAAGAGACGTGAGGCCCCAGAGCTTTAAGTTTAACAAGTCATTCCAATGTAGTTTGTTCTGTCTTTTGAAAACATAAGTCAAGTGACTTAGTGTTTTAACTGTTTCCTTTGTTAAAGAATAACCGGTATTATGGGCAGTTATTGGCCTTATTGTATGTGTATGTACGTTTGTTACAGTTTGTACACAAAGTGAAAATGCCTTTTTCTCCAGATCCCCAGCAGCGATTCCCCCTCGCCCCCACCTGGTCTGACAAAATCGGCCTTGGTGGTCCCCATCAGCGCATCAAACCACAGTGCGCGCTCTCCCTTCGAGGGCGCCGCCGCCGAGTCGCAGTCTCTGTTCTCGGACAACAGTAACTTCCGACACCCAAACCCCATTCCCAGTGGCCTGGCTCCTTTCCCAAGCTCCCCTCAGAGCAACTCAGACTGGCCGACCGCACCGGAACCACAGAGCCTCTTCACATCAGGTACTTGCTATATAGAGTCTGAGTGAAGAGTTTCTTTCGGCCTGTGCCTGCAGGCTGTCACACCCAGCATGTCCTGCGGTATGGATGTTCATAGCAAGAGAGGTAATAGAGAGTAACTGAAACGGACGTCCTTGCACCTCCTCACGCTCTGGGTGAGATCTCATGGGTGATTTCCCCCTTTTCTTTTGTTTGACTTTTGAAGAAAGTGTGTAGTTCTGACAAAGTTTAAAGAACAGATCCTTGTAAACTATTTTCGTGCTACAGGCATAGATTTACTACAAATGTGGAGTTCATTTTTTTTCTTTGCGTATTTAAATGTTCTTGTATAATTTAAGGTGTAAATGCATGTTCAGGACCTTAAATTTGACTGCCCGAACTTTTGAATTGTCCGGACTTCTTACGTGTTTGAGTAATGTAAATAGTGATCTGTAGTTTTATGAACTATTATGCATATATTAACTATACTGGCACTGTGCTAACATATTATGATCTGCATCTGGCTAAAAGTCACCTTTTACTCTTCAAAAATGTTTACTCTTCTAAACAGCAGCAGAAATGTCATTGACATTTTTTGGCCTGGCACAAGACACCACAATGATCGATAGTATTCGATAGCAAAAAAAAGTCCATAACCCCTGCTCTACCTGATTAAATTAAATATTTAGGCTTTCCTTTCAGTTTCTGATTTCTCTTGCTATGGTTTAAGAAATTTGTAGGTTTGTAATTAATAAAAAATTGATTTTACACTTGGAACATCTGCCACTATCAGCGGTTGAACAATGGACAGAAAATATCATGCTTTAATGTCAGAGAAATTAAAGATGTCTCAAAATTACAATGCATTTCATAGATGTCTGTCCCATAGGTATTAGGATAGCTAAGGCATAACATTCTTACTCTGGCTTTACAGTAAAGGAATTTGTGTTTGTGATCATGGGATTAATGAGTATGTGCAATATAATACACATTTTATCAATATCGTAATTCAAGTATTCGTCTGCTCATATTAGAAAAAACACCTAACTATTGGTACAGCAATTTTCAGAGCATAAACGTCAATGTTTGGTTGCATATTGTTGCCAGGCGATAACTGCATGAAGTCTGCAAGCTGTAATCAATTGTGATGTTTTGGTGCAACCAGTCTGCATTGGTCCTTTTGGTTAGTGTAGTTAGCTTGTTTTTTTATGCTTCTCCATGTGAATTGCAGTGCAACTGCATGTAAATTGCATTGGAGTACAAAGATCGGTCGTGAAAGTTTTATGGACTGATAGGATGAAGATAAATCTTCACCCGGTGAATTTTAAATATCTTGGATGAACTTACCCTTTCATAATTTTGTTTAACATAATCTAAAGAAAACAGTCTGAAGTTGTCATTTATATATATATATTACCTTTTGTGTCTCCCTGCTTTAGAAACTATACCGGTATCATCATCCACAGACTGGCAGGCAGCCTTTGGGTTTGGTTCCTCCAAGCAGCAAGAGGATGACCTTGGGTTTGACCCATTTGACATTACTCGCAAAGCTCTGGCGGACCTGATTGAGAAGGAGCTGTCAGTACAGGACCAGTCACCCCTCTCTCCAGGCTCTTTACACAATCCCCTTCACGTTCCCTCAGCCAAGGGGCCAGGGACTGGATTCATGCACAACGCAATGCCTTCCAACTTCCCCAACTCCGTGCTGCCTCAGCGGTTCCCCCAGTTCCAGCACAGAGCAGTATACAACTCATTCAGCTTCCCCGGCCAGCCAGCCCGGTACCCCTGGATGGGCGTCCCACGCAATAACCTCATGCACTTGAACCACACTGCAAACCCAACCTCAAATAGCAATTTCTTGGACTTGAGTTTACCGACACAGCACAGTACGGGCTTAGGAGGAATTCCTATTACAGGTAAGCGGACATTACACCTCTTGCTTTCATTTCATTACGTGTACATTTTGTTCAATTTCGTACATTAAATCCTAGTTTACAGATCTCAGTTGTAGTCTTTCATACATACTTGAAAAGATACAAAATCTACAATATAGCTTTTCATTAAATGGCAATGAGAATGAACCATTTTGTCCAATATCCTGTTTCTTCCTAGGTTACAGATCCATCATTAAAGTATTCTAGTCAATGTCTTGTGCACCATTTTTATAAAGAAGGGCTACTGCTCTTGTCAACAACATTTGGGTTTCTCTAAAATGCAAACGGATATAAAACGTTGAACTTCTGTTTTCTGACAGCGTCAGTGGATATCTGCTTTAGATACAGTATGTGTATTCTGCATGTTCCCTCGAGGTGGTGTCAATCACAGTTCTAGTGCTGCACATGTAAAGGTGAATACCTATCCAGGATATGGTGGTGAAAGTAAAATAAAAATGCAAACTGGTCTGAAGGTTTAAAAGATTAATGTAGGCTTTGTCAAGTTATACTAAAATAATTGGAAAGTTGTGTACTAGACTTTATTGCTTCTTATTCTTTTGGTGATCATTATAGTTCAGTGTTACGTGGTATTTGTTTGGTGCGATCTGGAAGCAAGAAGCCGTTCTCTTTCCCCCAGGCATCTGATGCATGAACAACCTGAAGAACTCATTCCCCATGCCTGCCCAAAACCATTGCTGATAGCGACATGAACAAACATGCTTCTTCTACTTCATTCTATAAAATGCTTCATGATCAGTGAACGCAAATGATATTTTTAGCTATCGTTTTAGATGTTGTGTTACAGTATTACAAAATAATAGCAGTTGAGACAGTGCTGCAGTCTTTCCGTACATGTGCCTTGTCTTGGTCTGTGCGAACAGTGTGTTGCCCGTTTTAACTCTAGTGACCCTTCCTACGATTTTCGTCCTTTGTGATGTTTATGAAAAAGTTTTCATTTTGTGAAGTCTTCATCTACAGACATCTACACGTGTATAAAAAGGTTGGAACAAATAAGCAGATGGATTTTCAATATATTCGAGCATAATGGAGTGAGTAGACTGTGGGTGGTTGTTTATTAATTCCTTGGGGTATATAGGAAGTACATGACCACAAGATGGCAGTCTAGTTCAGCAGCTTTTCCACAAGGTGTTGGATCTGTTCTTTTTATTTTTAGGCTTGTGCATTTCCTGATGAACCCCTGATGAATATAGTCTAATACTTAACCTTAGTGAATCAGTGTATTGTGTGTAGTGAAAGGTCCAATGTGAGTCATGAATGTAACTTGACAAAAATGTGCTTGATTGACAAAACAAGGTCTCGTAGTGTGCTTCAAAACGTACTTCAACGAGACCTCCCTCTGGCAAGAAAGCACTCCTTTGTTGACGCATATAGACGCACAGAAAGTCCTAATATCTACAATAAATCCACAGCCAGTTATCCTGCAGATTGAGTATCTTCTGATTTATTATAGTATATACTGTGATGTAAAAAGTGTTTTGTTTAGTGGTTATTATAGTGAGAGATTATTGGGAATGAACCTAACCTAAACATAATCAGTCTTGCTTTCTTTTGAATTGCTTGTTTCTCAAGATTGACTATTTGCAGCTTTTGCCCTTACTGCTTTACAAAGAAATATGACACCCTAAGTCCTTCATTAATTACAAACTTCCCGGCCCATGGATTTTTCCATAGTTGAACATTACATATGAACATGGTATATGCAGTATAGAATTGCAGAATTAGTTCACTTGGGGCTGAAATACAAGCACACACCTGATGAGGTTTAATGTACAAGCCATTTCTTAAAAATGACACCATGCAAAACTGTCCAGGGTTAATAGTAATGTGCAGATTCTCTTAAGCATTAGGAAAGTGTTTTAGAAGTGAGCAGATGTGGGTGTCATTAAGGATAGATTAGTATGCAGGTTAATGGTATAATGATGAAAAGCAGCCTCCTCCCAAACATTGTAAATAAGCAATGGTGATGAATTGAGTTCTAAATGCAGAGGGCAAACTTAGATTGATGATTAAACCCTTTAAGAAGCTCTTAATGGTTTTATGTTTTCACTATTTGTCTTGCCATTTTAACCAGCAATCAAGAATGAACACTGCTGGGTCCACCTCAGGCTGTCTTACTAACCACTGTAGTTGCTTTTGGGAAAAAATTGAAAATGGGTGATCTCAGCAAGAATTAATCCCCACTTTCCCCATTTTGTCCTGCTGCTTCATCTTTGCTGTATAAGTGATTAGACCAGTTGTGTAGTAACCCGATGTGTGTCTTATAAGAAAATTTCCATACCATGAGCATTTGTTTTTCAGTAGTGTACAAGTAATGACAAAAATCTACCCGTGTAGTTTTTCAGAGTGTGTCCTCTTCAGAAGCAATATGAACATATTACTTCAAGATTGTGCCTGAAAAGTGCCCTATAATTTGTAAAGACTTAAACTGCTTGAAAATATGTGTGAGGTTAATCTGTAGTTCATTTCTAGACTGATTGTTGGTTCCTAGTCTGTGTTTATATACTTTTTCATGGTTTTAGGATTCATTTCCATTTTTCTTTTATGTGCATCTCTGTGTCGGGGAGCTGTCAGGCTACTTCAAGGACAAACAGCACTGTAGGTATCACTGTATGGAGCGATATCGCACATATCAAGATTCTGACTGTATAATCTGTATGTTAAGTTCTCAAATTTGATTACTGGAAGTATGTTCTTACCTTGTTGCTAACTCTGGACTCATTTCATTTTAAAGCCTTGGTATTGGCACTAGTATTTAAGTATAGATCGGTAGCTGTGAGCTCCCATTTACTCCCACACAGGCACTGTTTCCCAGTCTAGTATGTAGGGAACTGCTCTTTGTATGTTCTCATTTAAAATGAATGCTTATTTAATCCTACTTGAAGACATGCTGATAGATGGTATTGTATATTAAGGTATTTTTCAGAGTTGGCAAGTTGAAGGATGGATCCATTCCTTTAAGATAAACCACAGGGCTCAACGTTAACTGTGGTTTACTCTCCACAGTTTGCTTAGGAGTTTTAAAACACTCAGCATTTCTTCTGACCTTTTCCTTTTAATATATTTGATGCCAACAGGTTATCACTTTAAATGCCCACAGGCATGGCAGAAAGTATTAACACACATCTGCTGTCTAATAATATGCTCAAGCATCAGAGACTTTTTGTGTTGTATAAATATATATTTTCCAACATTAAATAATGCACATTTGTCAGGTCAACAAAAAATCCAGCCCCTCTACCACTGCGTGTGGCCGTTGGTACATATAGTACACCATCATTTGGTGATCTCGTTGGCTGAAGACTCAATATGAGTCAGGACTCCGTCTCTGAAACCAGCTTAATGAGTCTTCTGTGACCAGCCTTATTTTCCAGATCACATTGGCCGCCATTGGCTATGGAGACAAGACACCTCACACATTGGACATGAAGACTTTTGTCTGCAGGTTTCGCGCTGCTAGGTTACTGTGCTTCCATTGCATCAAGTATTTTAAAAAGAGAATGTTGTAAAGAACAATATGAGAATTGTTTACCAGTAAAAAGAAGTGGATACTTACCAGATGTGGAGCTTCACTTAATACCAGCTGTGCAGTGTTAACGAGCTTTTAATACAGTTGCCTAAATGAAATGCCGGTATTAACAAACAATATGAGGAGCCACATAAAATAGGTTCTCGCATCTGAGGAACTGCTGAATGTACTTTACATGACTCCTATTCACAAACATGCCTAGCCTAGAATGTAAAAGAAGGAATGATTGTGATACACCACATCAGAGATCTGAAATGTAATGTAATGTAACATTTGTGTGCTTTCATTTCCCCTCTAGTCTGCACTTTGTAGTGTAACCTTTAAATGTCTTTCCAGGGGAAGCGTGATTAGATTTGGAGGCGCTGTGCACAGGTAGCTCTGTCCAGGGCTGGCTCTGATTTGTTGAGGGAGTCTCAATGTATGGCTGTTGCTGCCCTGGCTCTGCAAAGAGATTGGCTGCAATGGAGCACATACGTTGTGACTGGCTACTCTGGGTCTAGCGCTTTCCTCTAGTGTGAGGGAGAATAATAATATAAGGAAGTACACGGGGAGCACGAGTCAGCTGCTGTATTTAGACCAGGCTTACTGTCTGCCTCAGCAGCAGCTCCTGCACACAACAATTTTAGCTCTCCTTGGCCCCACAATCCACCAGCTTCATTCCAAAAGCTCCTACTTCTTTTCATGCTCGGTCAAAAATGGTAATTCTGTTTAGGCAGTGGGTTCCACATATTCCTGCACCATACCAGCTGTTTTTGTAAATGAGCAAGCTGTGAATTTAAATATGCTTGTGCTCTCTAATAAATGCCTCGATTCTGTGGGGGGGGTATATTCATGTGGTGCATTGCAAGGGAAGAACTTTTCAGGGTACAATGAAATTGGAGTCTTTGAGATGACTTATGACATTTAATTTCAATCTATTGACTCAATAAAATAGAAATTTATTTTCGTAAGGTGGTCTTCATGTCCCCTAGATAACCCATATGGCCCCAGAAGTATCCTGACTGTTTTACGAAGCTAATAAGGACTTTGCTTTGAGCCCATTTTAAACTGTATCTGGATATAGCCAATAGCTCTACTATCTCATAACTCTGTGAACTTTATGTATGTAGTGAATAGTTCTTGGAAGGTAGGCAGACATGACTTAAAAATGATCATTGTCCACTGATTGTTCCTTTTGTCCAGACCTTATATTTGTCATATTTTGAATGATTTTTAAATGCATAAATCGGGTCTAAAGAAGATCGGTATTGAGGATACGATATTTAGAGACTTCAGTGTAGGTCTGACACATAACCTCCCCTCTGGAATTCATGGAGACTGTCTGAATCTTTTCTGCGTTTCAATTACATAAGATTTCTTGTTTGAATTTTGTAAATACTGATAGTTTTCAGTTGGGGAAGAAATTGCATTTCTCTAATGCAAAAGTTACCATAAATTAGCCATGTCCATATTACAGGCACCTTGCTGATACTGGCAGCACCAGGGCAACACACAGTTCATTTTGTGTTAGTGTTATTTACCTGCAGGACATTAAATGATGTGAAAACACTGAATTTTTATTTAACCATGCAGGGGTGGGGGGAGAAATCAGCTTCTGCCGCATTCGGCAGTATCGGCATGCTTCCTTCTGTGCTATACCTCACAAACAGTGCTGTGCAAATATTATTCCTTCACCTTACAGCTGCTCTCCGATCGCAGTATTGCAAACTATTTTTGCCCTTTTACATAAAGGGGGGCATGTCCACAGCGCAATATTAAATACCTTTCCTAGTCAGAACCCTCGAATGGTTTACTATGATTTGGTTCTTTTCTGGAGGTGCGTGTGCTCAGATTGGTGTCATTGACTAGAAGGCCTGTAATGGGCACAGAGTGGGCAGTCGCCTCCTGTGACACGTTTGGTTCTTTCAGGAACAGCAAATGTGTAGCCTTGAAAGACAGGCAGGCTGACATTCCCGAGTCATTTTAAACTGCCTTCAAGACCGCCAGGTGAGATTGAGTCCTGACAAATAACGGCCAGGGTTAATTCAAAAATAGAATTAGCTAAGAAATATCTACGAAAAGAAATTCTTGCAAATAAGAAATAGTATTAACATTCTATTAAAGGGTACATGTAAGTCCTTCATTGCTTGTTCAAAAGGATATTTGATCTTCAATCATCACTGTCAGTATCTATGACACTTCAAAGATTGAGACTGTGGATTACAGATTTAATGCACACACACAATGATTTTTTGCGGTTATGAGGGAGTAAATGCATTTTTATATGTGCAAGCTGTTTTCATTTTTTTTTTGTAGACAAAGGGTATTTAATTCTAATTAGAAAATATTGCACAAGAATTTGGAAAGAGGAGTTCTTTAGGCTATGAAAAATGTTTCGTATTGATATTCCGAAGTAGCAGTTATCTGCATTTTGCAACCCCTGGAGAAGGAGTTTATCATGTGTCCTGACATCTAGATTTAACTTTTCTGCCAGTGGAAATGTAGGGATTAAAAAGCAAGAAATGTTCTGAGCTATCAAAAGAGTTCTGTGTTCTTTTCGACATGGAAAGTGTCTCCTGCAGAGATCTTTTTATAGCCTGTAGACCTGAGTTCTGATTTTTTTTGTACTAATCAAATATAGAATCCTGTTTTGTAAGAGATTTTAGCTACGTAATTTAATATGGTTTATCTTTGAAATATAAATGTGTGGCCCAATGTGGAATATCCTATCTAGGTTGTTTAATTCAGGAAAATCAGGAATTCTGAAGCATTTGAGAAACATCAAAATATTTTGATATAGACTTTAGAGTTTAGTGTGTGTGTTAATCCGATGCATAATATGTCGAACATCTGTGTGGACATCTCACTATTAATGTTTAATCAAAGGCATCTAGGTAGTTTTATTTAAAAGCATCATAGCATAACATATCAGTGAAGCTCTCATTGACAAGTCAAAATTGAATTGGAGTAGTGTGAAAATTTGGGCCATGTCTTGTGATTTGGAGTATATGTAGAAAAGTTAACAATTGTTACTTTTTTAACCTTACTCCCTGTGAGTAATTTCTTCAGTTGGCAAAACTGGGCTGTTAAATTCTTTGAGAGTGGATGATGCACCAGTCCACAGAAAAGCTAGGAGATATTTTTGCTAAACTGTTTAATGAATATCATTTCATTTTCTCCTTTTGAATATTAGTCCTTGGATTTTCATTCTTTACAGCTCCTTTGACACAGATTGAAAGAAGCGATTATGCACCTTAAGCCACAATTAAAAATTTCAGGGTGCTTTAGATGTTATGATGTAGCAGATGATGAAATTTAACATGTATGTCTTATAAAGTTTAATGTTCCATTTGCATGCAAGAGTATGAAAATATGAACATTACTGTATATTGAGACAATGGTGATCAGCCTAACTGTGAAACTCTCTTTAGTCTGTCACTTCAGCAGTTAAATCATTTTTAATGTATAAAATGGAGATATAAAAAACATAAGTTCTTAATGTGAATTTGTTGAGTCTATCAGGAAGACCATTTTCTTAAATTATGCGTTACCTCTATACTAAAAGAAGTTTAATTCCTGTTGGTATGTTTTCTAAATCTGAGGGTTATGTGCCTTTTTAAATACTTTTAAGAGGCATTTGAAAACTGTTTAAATCATTTTAAGACGGACTTTTCTTATTCATCAAGGTGTCACTCACTACTCATACTTCACCATTTATTGCACTATGCAGGAGTGCAGTTAAAACTGAATATGGAAGAAGGTACCTGGATGAGAGCCTTGGCTCAGTTATCTAATTCTCTCGTAGGTCTCACTTTAACAAATAGGAGTGAATACAATCTTAATACTTATTATTTAAGCAGAGTTTGCCGATTCATTTGAGCTCAGGTCTTCTATGGAGGTAGTAGTGGCTAATTATCCAGTCCTAGATTTTAAGAGGAATGATAGGAAAATGGCTGTAGTTTCTTTCTTTATGTCTCTGGTAAGCTTGCTAGCTGGGGCACATCAAATGTCCGGCTGTAGTGATGCGTCTTAATCTGTGGCCAAAATAGTTCTGCAGCAAAGGGAAAATTGGAGGGTAGTCCTAATAATTGTGAATCGGTTACACAACATGATTTGTGAGAAGGAGAAGGACTTTGACATTTGACAGCTATAAAATCAAAGGCTTGATTCATGTGGACTACTTTTGCCAAGTTTGAATTCAGGGGCAAGCTTTTATACTGAAGGAGATCTTTCTCTCTTTCTTTCTCCAGAAAATAGCAGTTCTATAGAAAGTTTAAACGTGAAAGAGTGGCAGGACGGCCTGAGAGCTCTCTTACCGAACATCAACATCAACTTTGGGGGGCTGCCAAACTCCTCTTCCTCCTCCTCCTCTTCCTCCTCCTCCAGTGTCAACCACACAGGGGCGCCATCGAGCTCGGGGGGTGTCTCGCACAATCTGAGTTGGGACGGGTCAGGCAGCTGGATGGACCCCGCCATAATCACAGGTAACCAAGGCTGAGCTGGGCTGTAGCTAACCTCTTGTTGCTCCAGAATAGCCTGCGGTGGTGAACTTTCTCTCTGCACAGAAGTAGTCTGTGGTAGCTAGTCTGTGGAGCAAACTCTCCATCTTAAAGCAGAACCATCAAACCCTAACTCGCCAAGTTTTGATGTAACTTGCCATTAAAGTAAAACCCACATTAAAATTAATTCTGCAAAACACAATGAAAAATATATTTTCAAAGTACTTTATATCAAAATAGTTATCTAATTCAACTTAAGGTTTAAAGAAATCCGGATAGTTTACCATGTCAATAGTTGATACAGTAGATAAAATGCTCACAAAAGGTATAGGTGAGGTCTAGCGTGTTGTGTGTACTGCCTTCGTGACGCAGTTGATTTGGGTGAAGGCTCCCTCTACTGGGAGTCGGTTATCGTGGCTATATGATGATTTTGGGTGATGCTACAAGGTGTGTACTGCAGATGGGAAATACTTTGTTCAGCTTCTGGTGGTCATTGTAAAGTACTTTTGTAAACTTTAAGCCAAAAGGCATGGACTGTTTTCCTCAAACCAGCAGTTATAAAAAACAAACCTGAGGTCAGTGTAATTCTGATAATCCCTGTGATCTCACTTTTTTTAGTACAGCCATTAATCACCAAGAAGTCCACACAATGCATGAAAAACACAAGATGGCTTTTTTATTACCCTTGTGTGATGGTATGATCCAAGATGATTTACAGAATGTAAATAAAACAGATAAAGTTTACAGAATGAAGAAAATGTTATGCCTTACAAATACAATTGATATTTTTAAAAGTGTAATAAAATGCTTGAGTAATTTACGTAATGTGGTATTTTTGCAGTATTGAATTTTTCTGAAGAAAAGATCAATATGATAAATGGAGTGTAGCAAACACCCTCAGTATGTTTATCTATGCTGAAAAAGTAGAAGGACTTGTAGTAGTTACAAGGGAGGAACTGGTATGAGAAACTTGAGGTGCTTTACGTGTTGATGGTGCTAGAAGGAGAGAGAAGCGTTGTGTTCAGTGGTAGCTGGTTTCACGGCTGCAGGAATGGACTTGAATGGAATGGTGTTTTTTAGATAAATATGAAGGAATTTGTTTCATTAATAAACATTTGACATGTTACTTTTCTGGGCTCTGTGGCGATTTGAGAGCATTTGTAATCTTGGGCTGTGTTTCTTAAACTCCTGGTATGTTGATTGTCACCCATTCCAGAGCAATGCTGACCACTCCCTGCTGTAACCTAGTAACCTTCGGTAACAATACATATTGAATTGTCATTATGGACCCTTTTTAAAACTAAGCAGTCCTCAAAGGAGGAGGTTCTTGGAGAGCTGATCCCTGGTACCAAAAAAAGTGGGAAAAATACTGACCCATGGGGGTCATCATTCAAATGAGATGTCTTCATTCTTCTCTTGTAATAAAAAGCTTTCTTGGGAGATGTAAATATAGTAGTTATGCCATGAGGAACTTGAAAGACCTGAGCTCCTGAACATTGCCAGGATGAAATGGACTGAGGTGCCATCTAGAGCTGAGAGACCTATCCACAGGCACTCGACAAGAGTCATGGGACAATCTCATAGAGTGGCTTGTGCAACATAAAAACAAAGTATGTGCAGCTTGTATTGTTTCCAGCAGTGGTCACAACCCTGCTGAGGACAAATCTTTATCAGCACAGAGAATTTACCAAGGACTTGTGTGACAAAATGATGAATTTATATTGTTATTATTGGCCAAATTAGAAATTATAGCTCCAGTGTCTACTTCCGCCACTATATCCCGCTAGCCGTGTTCGTGTTATAAATGGGGAAGTGTTAGATTTAGAAAATCCTTTAGTGAGAGGAAATGGATTTCATCACAGTCCAGTGGTGGCCAGCAATACAAGAGTCAAAAGTAGAAGGATATTTAAATACGTTTGAAAATTGCTCGGGGTGTGTAGGCAAAACAAAATAAGGTCATTCAAAATGTAAACAGGGTTTTATATATTTTGTTGACCTTATGTATCAAAATACAGGAGATAGTTTTGAAGGTGTTAGTGAATCTCAGTTACACCTCCAATACTTTTGGATACATCATTAATTACAAGTGTTGTAATTAATGGAGATGGAATTTAAATTGCTTTTGAAATGGGCTTGACCTCACTTATTCCATTTAAAATCATTAAATGGAAGCAGCATGTATATTTGTCAGCAACATTTAAAGGCGACTGATCTAAATACCATTAAGATTTTAATCTTGGCCAAAACCAAGACTTGAGAGAAGTAACTTTGTATATATGAAGTTTAGCAGGCATTGAAGTGACCGAATCATTTTGTAACCAGTAGGCTTTCCAGTAGATTTCTTCTAGATGAAGACCTTGGCTTTTTGTTTTTACCTGGAAGATCGTAATTGTTTGGAAGTGCCTTTTCAACTGAAAATTAAAGATGAGTGTCTGTGCAGAACGTAGAGACAAGGTAATTAAGGAATGCATTGTCAAGGTCAGCAGAGAGAAAAAAAATCATGTCTGGTCTCCTCAGAGCTCTCTTCGAACAAGACTTAAAACTTGTAAACAGGATTTCCAAATGAATGTGCCTTTGTACTTAGCATTCAGTCTCTTAAATAAAATTTCACCCTGTGCCATGGGCAAACTACAGATTAAAAATGTATTCCAGTAAGCGTCCTAGCTGTGACAAATCCAACGGAAAAGGGCAAAGCATAGCAAATGTGTACATTTCTGATAAATACAGTTATGCAGGGCAATCCAAATAATTGAAGACTTTTTCAGGCAAAACAAAACAGAAATGAAAAATGGGGATTACATATGGCCTATGTGTTTTTTTTGTTCTTCAGCCAAACTGATTACTACAAATGAGAAATATGTTGTGCCAAACAAGCTTTATGAGGGACACTACTGTATTGTCCGATAAAGTGAAAATGACATCAGCTCGTTTATCTTAACATATTTTACAAGGGTAAGCAACTTGAAGTTTTTCCGTGACAGAAGTAAAATGTAGCAATTTGTGTGACATTTTAAAAACAAAAGGCTTATCATGCTCAATACATTTTGGTAATTGCAGATCTATTAAATATGTAATGTTTTTATGAATCTCTGCACTGCGTAAATTGGTCTAGATCCCTTTTTAGCAGTTATCTTTTATCAGTAATTATGCCTGAATGTTAGAGCCCTCACTGCAGTCTTAGTCTGTATTGCCAAACTGACAGTTTCAAAAATAGTTGTCAAATGTGGATCAGAGTCATCATTTTGATTTCCTTTCAGTAACACTTTTAAAATAGTTTCGTATTTTGACTAGGTATTGTCAAAGCATAATTTTCCCTCTTTACCTAAGATTTCACATGATTTTTGCTTTCAAATCTGTTAATTAGAATATTTAACTTTTATTTACCTTTGCATCCTGAGTGAACTGCTTTTGTTTGACCTTTTAACAGCTAGTGTAAGTTCCAGTTGTTCAAGTTTAAGTTGCACAAAGTTATGAGATAAAAAGTTTATCTTAATTCCTTAACTGAGTTTCCTTTTATTTTTTTTGTCAACTATTAGGTATATACAGTTGGCAGCTGTACAGGGTTTAGTAGAGATGACCTACAGATAATGGACAAGAAAATGGAAGCACTAATATAAATTCACTTAATATTGTGTTGGGCCACCATGTGTGGCCAGTATAGTTTGTAGTCATGACACAGAGACTGGAATTCTGCAGGAGAGATGCAACCCCATTCTTCCACAAACAAACGTCAGTGAGCTCAAGCCTGGCTGATGGAGGTAGAAAATGCTGTTTCAGGTGTCATTCCAGAATATCCCATAGTTTGAGTTGGTTTAGATCTGGTGGCTGAGAAAACCATGACTTATTGATTACATCGTGTCAAGCTCATCACTGAGCGACCACACATACTCTTGCATTAGACACTTCTCCTGACAGGATAGAAGTGCTGCAACATGGGTTGATGATGATCACTCAGTACCATTAAGCAGCAATTAGCATTGACCTGGCCTTCTAAGGGATCATGCCAGGAAAATGTTCCTCACAACATCACAGAATGACCAGATCCTTTCACCGTTTGAACCAAGCCCTCAGGGGTGTAGAGCTCTATAGGTTGGAACCACCCATGCACTTGTCCTTTTGTCAAGAACATGGTGAAGGATGATCCTTCTGAGTCTTATCAACCCTTCTGGTTCATCATCTAATTCTATCACAAGCTCTACCACTGCTCTTTAGTCTGTTCCTTGTGCTTTTTTTGCACCACTGGACTCGCAGACATGTCTTGACATGTACGATGAATGGTTTCTGCACTGCAGCCCAAATGTGGTTTCCAAGTCCATGGAATTCCTGGTAGACCAGTTTTTGATGAAACTGGCTGCTTGTGCTCCAGGTTGCGTTTTGCCGTCAGTTGATTTGCAGTTGTTCGCCTGTTTTGCTTTACACATTGAATTAATAGACAGATATTGCAATCATGGAGAATGTTCTGTTTCCCAATGTTGGTGTTTTCTAATGATTTTCCTTCCATGTTCCAAGCTGACTTCACTTTAGACACCGTTGCTCATGAAAAAGCCAGCAGGGAGAGCTGTCTTGGTCCCTGAGGTTTCTGCTCAATGTGCCCCAGCAATTGCCCCCCCTTCAAAGTCAATAAGATCTCCTTTGGCAGCCATGCATGCTTTATCTGTAGGCAACCAGGCCTGTTCAGCATTTTTATACATGACTTACTATATCATTGGCCAAAGAGTTCCCATTTTTCCCTACTACCTGTATGTATAGACTGTAATGGAACAAAATGAACCTTTTCTGCCAAATTGTGTTTTCTAGTTGTGTTGCTAATGTTAAAACCACTCAGTTTATAGAACACCTGCATATTTAGGGGAAAAAAAGGTTGCTTCTGTAAATCCTCACTCTAGAGGATTTGTTTTTCATCTGAGTTTTGAAATCTAGGGTTATTGTGCCCCTTTGTTTCACTCTTCAAGGATTGAAATGTCAAGTGGAAACCTGTCAGCTGTCAGGAAAAGGCTTTGCTGAGGCAACCAAAACCCATGTAATCTTTAGACTCTTAAGCTCCAACCACAGGTTTAGTTACCTGGTTCCACACTCGGTGTGGTTGTGATTCAGATAGGTTTTGGTTTACCATATTATTAATGAGATTAATAGTAGCACATTTGTTGTGAAGACATATAACTGTTGCTCAGGTCTTCTACCTAATTAAAGATGTTATGAGGTCAGATGAACTGAAAAAAAATCACAAAATAAATCATGCTTAAGTACTGCTTTTATAGTAGCTGGTGGTTTCCCTTAATGATTTTAACTGTAACATTCTGTACTTTTGGATTGCTGAGGACCTGAATTCGAAGCTCTGTGTATGTGATGTACACTTGCTGAATGTGGTTCTACCTGTACAAGTAATATATTCTAAGAGGCATTAAAATGTAGCAAATGGTATTGGGTCCAAATTTTATTAGTGGATTTTCTGACATGTTCGGTAAAGAGTGTTGATGCTATGAATGTAAGCTAGTGCCTTTCCCAGTATTTCTTGCTTGATTGTAGTACTGAAAGAGCTCTATTTGACATTATCTTTACATATCATCTACAGAAATGTAATTTGATATGTTGCTTCAGAAACTCTCAACTTTGTGTGTAAAGACGCTTCTAATTTGGTGTACTTTCTGCAGTTTTCGGCTTAGTCTTTTGTTGGCCCTGACAGAATCCATTCAGTTGTCTGTCAGTGCTTTGGAGGCTTATGTGCATTTGAAACCAAGTCTACACAGTTTTTATTTAAAGACTTGATCATTGTTAATACTGGAAAAAAATGTTCGGATTTGAAATTAAATGGAAATACAGGAATCCTTGTTTTATGGCGAAGAAGTTCACAGGTTTCGTTCTATATTTAGGTTTATCATTTTAACACTGAAGTGTGTTAACTTTATTTCACTGGGGGATTAACTTTATTTTTCTTATGTTCAAGTAGGTATAGTAGCTGCGTCAGCATGTGTAGGCTGCAAAGGAACATGTAAAGGTTTATTCCATGCTGAAGGGAAAAGAGATGCTACATTTCTTTCTGCTGTGGAGCCTTCCTCAGATATCAACACCTGTCATCTGAAGAAGGCTCCATAGCTGAAACGCTGTCTCTTTTCTTTCCCTTTCAGCGTGGAATTAACCTTTACTTGTTCCTTTATTTTCATTTTATCATGTCTCACCAGACTCTTCCCCACACCCATCTTCTGCCTCGTTATTGACATTCCTATCTCCTTACCATGTTTGCTGAGGATATAGCTGTTAGCCACTTATGTTGTAAGTGCCTCACAGACAGCTGCTGCTTTATAAGTAAAGCATTCGGTGACATTCTTGAAAAGTAATTTCCATATTCATCAGAAACATAGAAGATTATGAAAATGCTGTAACACCTCCCTTTACACCAAATCTCCTGTCTTATGGGCACACAAACGTGAGAAAAAGAAAACCTAAAGCTCCTTCGAATTAAACCAGAGGCTCTTCATATTGTGGCTAAATAGTCTGCTATGCTTTTGTTTTGGTCTTATTTGAGGTCTGTGTAGATTTGTGGTTGACATTGCATGGAAAACAAATATTGAAATAAAAGGCTTTATCATCATGGACTTAATCAAGTGAAACAGAGCATTGTGTTCTTGAAACTATTCAACAATTTTTAAATCAAACACGTTTGGGCATTTTCCCTTAAGTTTAGCTCTGTGCCTGTTGAAACTTGGACACTTCCATTCTTTTTTGTCTTGTATTTTTTTTTCATTTTATTTGACTTAACCGAGGGCCCTCTCAGTGGCCTTTCACTTAATGCTTTTAATTGTCTTTTGTTCTTGAGCATTAAAACGAAACAAAAAAATTCCCACTTAGTGAAGCATTATTTAAAATTGGTCTTTTAAGTCCTTTGTTGGAGTGGAGAAAAAGGAATTTCTCTGCTTCAGCAAAGGCTGTCTATAGTCTGAAATTAAAGGCAGTATGAAGATGATTGACCATGCTGCACTGCTCTGGGTAAACAACATTCTTCAGCTTGGTTACAGCTCGGTTGGCCACAGTGAAGGAAACATTTATGTAGTCTAACTCAGAACTCAAGTAGAAATGCTATGTTTTTTTGTCAGGACACTGTCTTATCGGCAGTTAAGATGTTCATTAAAGTTGATTGTGGGTGCAGTAGAAAACGCTGGGTTTCAAAGAGTTAATGGGTTGTTCACCATGCTAAGACAATTTAATATATCTCCATTTCTCAGTTATTTTGTTCCATTCATACCAATGTATGTTTCATCGTTCAACAGGTTGTAGAGAGGCTACGTAATGAGCATATTTCAAAGGTGAAAGCAGAGATTTCCACAGGCTGTCAAAAAACAGTTGGCTTATCAACTGCCAAACCAAATTGAAAATCAATGTCAGTCAATATCCTAGTTAACAACATACAAGATACTTCACTAAAGATGCTGGCATCTGGCCTATGCCCACCTTGAGTTTGGGCTGTGGGGAGATGTCACCTGTCAAGTCCAAGAAGCTAATTTATAGTTGAATCAAACATGGATCTAAAATTTCCCTGCTTCAAAATGTTTACTTTGAATCATCTTATAGGGAGTTATTGAAATATTACCAGTGCTTGAAGAAAACACCATTAAGAAAAACGAAATCCGGTTGGTTTCACTTTTATCTAACACGTGTACCCATGCTGACGTTCCCCGGTAGTGATACGTTCTTTCTTTCCTTGTCCTGCAGGTATACCCGCCTCTTCAGGCAACAGTTTGGACTCTCTCCCGGATGACAATCCACCTCACTGGCTCAAATCTCTGCAGGCCCTCACAGAGATGGACGGTCCCAGCTCAACTCTCCCCTCACAGCCACCTCACAGTACTCCCTTCAGCGCACAGATCCCTCTTCACAGAGCAGGCTGGGCCCCCTACCCGCCTTCTGCCAACCCCACCAGCCAGTTTCATTCACCGCCTCCTGGCTTCCAGACCGCTTTCAGACCCCCAACTCAGACCCCCACAGACCTGATACAGAGCGCTGCTATGGACCGTCACTAGGAATTAAGAAAACACAAAAATCAGCAGATACAAACAAAACTATTAACAAATAATAACAAGATTATATATTTTTCTTTCTCTGTATTCTGATCTTTTTCTGACTTTTTTTTTTTCCCCCACACACCCCCCCCTATCCCAGACTCATTTCTGGTCATGGTGTCCAAATTCAGCCTGGTCACAGGTTGCATTACTGCAATGGGATTCCTGCTCGATCGGTAGGCGAAGAGATAATCTGACGCTTTGAGACCTGGTCTGGAGGGGTCTTCATGTTAACTCAATGTTAGCTCTTCCAGAGTAGGAATTATGGGGAATTTTAAAGAGAAACTGATGTGAATCTGAAGATGGCGTAGAAATTGCTTAACCTAAAGTTAAAAGAATAGAAAAGCTTACTTGTAATGATACCCGAGATATGATAAGAGAGATTTTTGTTTAGGAAACAAAATAAGAAGAGACAATACTGGCCTTGATAGCTATGCCTAGCAGTGCTATTCTGTTGTCTTCATGTGGAAGAGACAAGAGGCCCCATTGCCCCACAAATCCTATGGTTTTGATGGTCTGGACTGTGATCTGAAAGTTAATTATTTTGGCCAGTTATTATTCTTGGGAACTGTTTTACCTGCGGTCCTGTTTATATCAAATGCACCCTAATTGGTGGTGAATAGATAATACTACACTAAAAATGTTAACCCCACCCCCCTGGTCCGAGTTATGTTGTGAAGGGCTGCACCCTAATGCAAGCCGTGGGCTCTAATGGGCTGTTTCTGAATTCTAGGAAGTGACTCACTTGAATAGGGAGTGACTTTGAGCACTGCTAGGAGCCTGCTCTGGGCTCTGCAGCTGTGCTGGAGAGCAGCTGGCACCCTCTTGTGCAGTGGCGTTTCAGACCCTCTGTATCAGAGGGCACTACGTTGCAGAAGGAGAACAGGACTAGGAAATCAAAGTGAAGGGAGACGCATCGCTCCCTCTCTTGCCTGTTGAAGACTCTCGGTACCACTGTGTGGTGCCTGCCATTGCAACCTTTGCTCACGAAGCACGTCCTATTGAGGGCTCTTAGAACCCTTTGCTCCAGTCCAGCATCAAGTCGCGCTTATTTTCCAACAGGGCCCACTCTGTTGCAGTGATTCAAGACAAAGGCGATATGTTAGTTGTAGTGATAAGACAGCAGGAACCGATGAGAAAAATCTTATCTGAAATTAGGATAAGTGGACAATGAATTATGTTAGGGTCCTGCAGGAATCCCGTATTTTAATTTATTTTCTCAACCCAGCATTAGTGAAAAGAAAAACAACGTAAAGGCACTTCTTGGTTCTTTTTCGGTTGGGAGTTGGCACGTGGCTGGTTACAAGATGAAGTAAGTAAGGGCTTGTAGTTTGTGACTCGGATGAAAAAAAAGTCTGTGGTGTTTTTTTTTTTAATTTTGGCTCTAGTTTAAATGAAATTCAGCGTTTTTAAGGTAAGACAGGGCCACCTACGAGAAATAATTTAAAGTAATGGGATCTTTATTTTCTTTCTATCTCTCTACATCATTGTATTTTATTATTTGGAACTGTGTGTGCTGGGATAGTGGCGATTAGGACAACGAGTGATCAGCAGCCAAGAGCTTCATCTTTGGCCTCCGTCAGCGGTTGTCTTTCTTTCCCCCCTCTTACATTTTTAATGGTCTTCTTAATCCCTTCTCATTGACTTTGTAGGTTCTTGCCGACTGTTCAGTATTCATAAGAAAAATTCAAAGAGAAACAGATGCAGTTAACCATGGGTTTTACATGTTGCTAAAAAAAAGTTTAAAAATGAAGAGCTAAAGAAATTGTACCTCTCTCTGCAGATCTGGAACTAAATCTTAAATAAAATTGAAAACTTGATACCTGAGTTTTGTTGCCTTTTTTTCTCCCTCTTCCCTGTGCCTGAGGACAGACTGTAGGGACGTGATGGGTTCCGAAATGCTGGGTTTCTGAGCTTCCCTTCTGTCTATATTCTGCTGTGAGCATTGTTTGATTCAAGAACAAACTGCTTATTTTTTGTTAAATATTATTGTATGTATGTAGCTCATTATTTTTATGCAGTGTTACAGTGTAAGCTTGTTTGGCATAAGAAGTCAAGAAATACAGTACTGTTTTGTTAGAAAATAAGTTTGTTTTAATTTCTTAGCACAATGCTGTAAGTACTGCTAGTTTTAACAAGTTATCTACAAATTAACATGATTTCACATGAGCGCAAAACCACAGAGGATGTATTTTTCTGGAATATTTGAGTTTGGCCTTCTCTTGATTCATATCTTCTGGAACCAGTTTAACTAACTTCACTGCTTGTGCTTTATGAGAACCTAGGTTGTGCTACTATGAATTCATTTTATACAAATTGGAAGAAACACATTAGCATTGATTTACATGAATAAGGAAATCAATTTAGATAATAGTCTTATAAATGTACCACTTAAATTCTTAAGTAGTTAGCAAGATAGTGTCAAGTGTGAATTATGTTCTTAAACGTGCCACTGTAATGCTTGCTTCTCAAAATTTAAAATATGGCATTTTGTGAAATATCACTACAATGAACTAAGCCATGCGTAATTCTAATGGCTTTTGAAACTACTAATGACCAATTCATGCTGTGAACATGGAATGCATATTAATGTATGAATGTTTTAATTGTAGCTTTTTGAACACAAAGAACAAACATTTCATTGACTTGGAATGGCCAGTGTTGAGCCTACGTGCCTACACTTCTATGAATGCAAACTATACCACCATTGATGTATATATATACAGTATATATGTATGTGGCACATCTCAATAAAGTGCTTTGCAAATTTCTTTCCAACCAAAATAAAATGATCATAAAATAAAATGCAGATTGTATTTTAGGAATAGTTTAGGAAGCTTGTGACTATTGGCTAAAGTATTCTATCAATCACTAAGCAGTTGGTCAAGCTTAAAGAACAGTGCAATATGCACTCTTCAGTCAGTTGAATTTGAATGCAAAATGTATTTGCATTTAATCAAAAAGGAAACATTGTGCTTTTTGATTAGATGCGTAATATTCATGGGGCTTTCAAAGACATTTTTTTGTTTCCTGATATGAATAACCTTCATCTCAAGCTAGTCAACCAGTTTGTCCGTGAAACTAACCTGATTATCTGCCAGTTTACGTACTCATTGGTGGCAGACTTCAAGAGATTCCCATTAAAGTGCAATGTATACTGTATTTCAAATGTCAGAACATATAATAAAATGGAGATCGTCAAACCTCTATAGGTTTGGTAATCCAAGTGTTGAGACTCGTGAAGAATAATACTCCTGTGCACCCTTGAATTGTGGCCATTTTTGTGGATGCCTTTAGTATTTTTTGATACTGGAGTTTCTTTCGGATTTTATTCCCTTCGGGATGCATCTTAATTAACCTTGCTGGACCATAGTTTGAATAAGTTTTTTAAATCCAGCTATTAAGTACTAGAACTGAGTTAGGAATTAGAGTGAATATTATGTAGGACATTAGGTTTCTTAAACCATTTTATTTGGGATTAAGTGATGAATCAAAATTTAACAAATGAGTCTATACATCACTAAAGACGCTAATTGGGGTAGTTTTTGAGACCGTATCATTCCCACCTTTTGTAATTAATTCATTGGTCATTACAAGTTACTCAGAAAACTATGGTGTAACAACCTTGAACCAAACGTGCTATGTGCTGTGTTCCTTGGAAATAACACAACAGAGATTTCTGAAACAGACCAGGGTAATAGTAAAGAGTTCTAATCGTGCACTTATATGAAGTTTAAATTAAGAGCTCAGGTGGAACAAAAAATGAAAAAGACAAAGATGCTCCAGGAACTGGGCTGGGAAACTGCATGACAGAGCTAGTTCAGCAAGTCAGCATGATACTGAGCAATGATTGTAGTTTTAGCGTGGCATGTAATTGGTTTGTTTTTTGGTTCACATTATAAATATCAAGAGATGCTAGCCATAATCTTGACAGCTTCATCAGGGTCTGTGATATCATATTCATTGATTCAATCCTGTTCTGAGGGTCACAGTGGTGAAGAGCTCAGAAAATGCTTTCCTGGGTTTGTTGTGGTGGCGGTCTTGCAAGTTGAGGTTTTGGGGTAGTCGTTTGGTGAGCAGTGTGTTGTGCTATAGCTCACATAACCTAAATAAAATCTGAACAGCATTGTGGTGTTTAATATTTAATCTATGCACAACTGCGAGTAAGAAATCTTGTCAGCATTATACTGTAGTTATACACCTGAAGTTATACTCTCCTAAGCAATGTTCAAATTCACGTTTATTGTCATTATACTCATACACAGGTATATGGTATAACAAAATGCTATTTAGTTAGCTCTCAGACGGTAAGTAGTATAAAAAACAATACAATTGTGTAAGAAAAAGACAGACAATAGGCAATGAGGTGATGCTAAATGTTGAAAAATCATGTTGGACTTAGTTGTGCTTTAACAAAGGTGGCTAACATGCACAAATGGAGAAAGGAATCACCTTTGTGGATCATAACAAGGAGCTCCATATCTTTCTGCCATCTTTAGGTCATGAGCTCAACTAGTAGAGAAAAAAGTGTTTATTTTCATTCAGCGTTGGAAATGAGCATTCAGAGAAAGGTGTTTAACGCATCTATACATTTTCTAAATACTTCATCCAATTCAGGGTCGCGGGGGGAGCAGGAGCCCGTCCCGGCAAGCAACGGGCGCAAGACAGGATGGGATGCTAGTCTGTCTTGGGACACCGACACTCACGGCAGGACCAATTTCCCCAGAAGTCAATTAGCCACCGGTATGTGTTGAGGAGTCTTGGAGACTGTGGGAGAAAACCACACAAACATGGGAACACACAAACCCCATGCAGAGAGCAGCCCAGGTCCAGAAACCCAGGGCCCCAGTGCTGTGAAGCAGCAGTGGTAAGCGTGCCACCGTGCTGCCTGCTTTGAACACAATGTATTTTATAAATATTTGATATTCAAGTCATGAATGTAAACATACAATTATACATGTATACAATGCTAACCGCTGCGCCACCATGCCACCCATAAGGTTTAATACATTGCTTATTTTTATGCATTTAAGGCAAAAGGTTATGTGCCAAAGTGGAAAATGAGAAATGGACCACCAGTGTGGAATTCACAGTTAAAGGACACAAAACAAGTTTTAAAAAGAACTGAATCTGTGTTGTGGTGGAGTGGTATACAAATAGAAAGGGGTCCTTTGACGTGAGGTGCCAAATTGTTTTGCTGGGGTACTTTTTTCCAAACTCGAAGGGTGTTTGAAGGCAGACAGAATGCCACTATATAAAAATATTCACAGGCTTGCAAATATCGCACAAGTAGGCAGCAAGAGTTTTGTCATGTCAGACACTGATGTCACTGCTTAGATGCTCAGAGACTGGTGTCAGTACTGCCGGCAGACGTGCCAAGAGTATGGAATCTTTGGAAACGTGATTTACAAAGTCAGACATCATGCTTTCAACAGTATAGATGACTCCTGGACTACTTACATCTGAGGGTCACCCAGACCCGGGCTCATCTTTTATTTATTCTGACATATTTATTCTGTTCTGTCTTGAAGCCCTTTGCCCATCACTTCACTGTGAAGTAAGGAGGGAACAGCTTTTGCTGTAGCAGTTTCCATTAATTTGCTCTGCTTTCTTGCATATAAGATGAATGATCGCATGCTCCTCAGTCTTTGAGATCATCATTGAATAGCCATGGAAGAAGTGGATCAGCTTTGGTTGCCCATAGATATGATATAACGTGATGTTAGACGAATTCTAAGCAGGGATTCATACAACTAGTACGAGGAGTACTAGTATGAGTACTTAAAGGTTCCAAAAAAGAGCATGTGTACCAGAAAAGACATTTGTTTTTATTCCACTTGTTGGGTGGACCCTGTTTTGCCTTTAATAGCTTGAGATGAAATAATGCTACAGTATCTACCTAACCATTTTCAATCATCTTGCGAACAGCTACTGTATGTTAAAACATGAATGAAAAGTCATACATCACTACTGTATAACTTAGCAATAAAAGCTAATGTGTCAGCCACTGGCTGCCTTACAGCATATTTTGCAAATATTTAATAGAATTTGAAAACTTTAGTTTTGTTTGACTGTTGCATTGTAGTTCACATGTCTAAAACAGAAACACTGTTATCTTTCCACTCTCTCATCTCAATCAAAGAAAGTCCCGACTACATCTGATAAGCCAAAACTATTATTTTCAGAAAAACAGCTTGATTGATGAAGTCCGGTGGCTGGAAACGAATTCAGAGTGTACAGAGCTGTGGAGTAAATTTTGCCGGGTTGACAGAAGCGGGTGTAAGGTAGAGGCTTGAGGGCTGTATTTCTCTTTGTCATGCATAGAACAATGGCCAGAGTTCAGTCAGGGTTTGGTGGTTTTTGTGTCTCTTTCTATCTCTTATCAAGGTCTCCCAGCCTTCCTAGTGCAAATAGTACAGCAGATGCCAGTCATCACAGACTAAGTGATCCTGTTTGACTGGACACCCAGCAAATATCACACAGTCAGAGGTGACACATTAGATGTGTGGGTGTGTTAAAATGGCTAAGCCTAGACCTGCAACAGACAGGAGAGACAGATGAATTAGGGACGCTGCACCATGACGCCTGATTCCTCAAGTAGCCCCACCCCACGATCACCTGGACCCTCATTCAAATCCTTGATTTCTGATCAGAAAGGAGATAAAACGGCAGTGAATGCCAAGGAAGCTCAGGTGCTCTTTTCTTCCCCTACCCTATTTCTTGCAGACAGCAGAATAGGGGGAGTAAAATGCAACCTTTAGTTTGGGAATGTCAGGACTGAAGATGCGTTAGAAAACCAAAGGACTGAAGTTTTAGATCT